AGTGGTTGAATCATCAACTTGAATGTTCTACTGAAACTGTAAAATAAAACCTACTGTCCTCCGCTCCAAAAACAAATCTCAGCCGTTCGCAGGACGAGGATGTGTGACGCACAATGGATCGATCCCTTCCTAATCTGGGCGCAAGCGGAGTGGTGACCGTGTTTGCTAGTGATTGTCGTTACCTTCCCGACTTTGGTTGGTTTCTTCCTCCGTGTCTCGTTTGCCGTCCATACCCTCCCCGCTGGATGCCATATTCCCCATTTGGACTGCCTGCGAGCGCGGCGGCTTGTGGCGGCACCGGAACCGTTCCGGTGCTCGAGCTGGATTTGGGCGCGACATCACTTGCGAGCGAACACGGTCACCATGGAGACAGCGATGAAGACTTCAAAGGATGCAAGGCCTTGTATCACGATTTGCGACCTGTCGGCCGTTTTCTTCGTCCCTCCCAGGTACCACCCGTACTCCCTCGCACGGTAAGCTTGAGACTCGAATCAATGTGGTGTTCACTTACTTTGACGACAATCTGCTTGCTGCCACTTGGTTTTGCTGTAGTACCTCTGCAGCCAAGTTCGTTATTCTGCAACATGATTCTTAACTTCGACTGGGAGCTGAGGTCAACCACTCTTTGTCGGAAGCTATGGCTGTTTGAATCCAGGTGCTTTTTTTCTGTGGCTATAACCTAAATCGGCGCACCCACGCTCCTCGAGGGCTCTGCTGTTGCTTGTGAATTTGAACCGTGGTAATATAATGTTTGATCCGCTCAATCGGCAGGTATTTCCGCACCAATCTACATCGGCCGACTCCCTCATCCCCCTCGAACGTCAAGCTTGCTGTATTACCTCATCCCTTGACCGATAATCTCTTTCCGAGATATGCACTAAATCGCGGTTGACGGACCAGCCGTTCCCTGGGAGTCTTCAGTCTGTACTAGTCTCCTATGAGTTCTTGACAGCCGCTACTCGTACCTCGTTATGTTGGAGGAGTCTGCAAGTTTACTTCACTGCAAGCGACGATGTTTCTGATCTCAGCCAGATTCTTCAAGGCCGCGGATCTCGATACGCCCACCGGGCCCAAGCGGGACGCCCACAAACCCGTTGTCCTATATTAGAACATAGCCGTCTACCTCGACTTGCCTCAGCCTCCCTCAGCCATGTTCTCATTTTATGACCTCTATCGATTCTTCAAACAAGCCTACTTCTCCGGAAAACCCGTTTGGCAAGCGAATGACATGCCTGAGCTGAGCGGTAAAGTAGTTATAGTGACCGGCGGCGGCGCTGGGATCGGTAAAGAGACTGTAAAGGTCTGCTTGAATTCAAACCTGTCAATTTGGGATTCATGGTGGCTATCGTTCAGGCGCTTCTCGAGCACAACGCCACGGTTTACATCGCTTCCCGTAACGCGGCGAAAACGAATGCGGCGATACAAGACCTCCAACTGTTGACTGGAAGAACAGCGTTTCTGCTAGTTCTAGACTTGGAGGACCTCCAATCAATTACGGCCGCGGTTGACGAGTTTCTCCTGTCAGTTCTTGCTGCACTCGGCTTTTGAACTGATTTATTTTAACGAATTCTGTCAGGCGGGAGACCCGACTTGACATCCTATTCAACAACGCGTGAGCACCCGGTCCATTGATCTCATTTCCTTGACTTGACTAAGTCACACTCGCCAGCGGAATTATGATGCCTCCCGTAGAAGCGACCACTGCCAGTGGATACGATCTTTCTTTTGGAACAAATGTGCTCGGTACGTCCCTATGATTAGCCACGGTGTTGTTCACTACTTTGGCTGAACATGACACAGGTCATTTCTATCTCACTAAACTCCTTCTACCGATCCTCATTAAGACAGCGGCGTCTACCGGGACCTCTACCCGCGTCGTGAACACTTCCTCTGGCTCTCATTATGTTGCTATGTATGACTTCAACACCTTCAAAGATGGCCCTGCGCGACGAAAGCTCACTCTGATGCAACTCTATGGTCAAAGTAAATGGGTGAGCTACCTGCTTGTCTAGCCTCAACCTAGCTGAATATTTCTTGAGGCAAATGTAACTTTCTCCAATGAGTTGGCGAGACGCTATGGTCACTTGGGTATTGTGTCTTCTGCCGTGAACCCTGGTATTACATACTTCAAATTCCGCCATGGACAAATTCGAAACTTACGGCGGCTAAAGGCAACATCAAGGACACGGAGTTGTCGCGGCATGTCAATTCAGGGATAGAGAATTTCCTCTTGGTGCGCAGATTCACTCTTCAACGCTCGCATCGATTTTTAATTGAGCAGAAAATTATGCAAATATACCCTGCTTCGTGGGGAGCCCTTCCGTTGCTCTTTGCTGGTACTAGTCCGCAAGGGGGTGATTTTAACGGCAAGGCTCGTCATTTAAAATGTGCCTCAGTTTTCCTTGCTCAAATCGTTGTTACCAGTTCATTATCCCATGGGGTCGTCTGGGACTCGCGAGGAAAGATACCACCGACCCGCAACTCGGCGGGGACCTGTGGGCCTGGTTGGAGGAACAAGTTGAGGAATTGTCTGAGTAGATGTATACAATGCGAAAATTAGCTTTCTGGTCGACGAAGTTGAGCCGTGGGAAAGTATTGGTGTACAAACCGGTCGTGCAGGGATGAGGAATTTAATCCACAGTAATTACTCCAGTGATGTGTCCACCGATATCGGGCGATCACTGCATTGGCGCGCCAGTGGACCCACATTGAGTGTCAAGTAAGACGGACCCATGACAACCTAGTCTTCTAAGCAATGTCCATCCGCGTCTCCGTTCTCATTCGGCGTCGAACCGACCTTACTCAGGAACAGTTCTTGCAGTACTGGTCCGGAGTCTCCTTTTGACATGAATGAAGCTGTTAAAATATTGTTGTTCAGGACGACAAATCATGTTCAGATTTTTTCCAATGTGAAGAAAGTGCAGGAGAAAATAATTCGTTACAACCAGGTAGGTAGTTCTTACTTGGATTTCGTGACCTTCGTTTTCATTTCTCCATTTCGAGTTTCTCATCCTCGAACCTGAATCCGACCAGTTGGCGGCTGTTGGTTTTCCTATTCTGCAGTACGATGCTGCAGCCGAGTTCTTCGTGGAGCGACTTGACGACCTCATGGAACTGTTGCAGGATCAAGAGTTCAAGGAGGTATGAGTCGGCCGCTCCGTTATCAGACGAATGACCTTTTTCCAGAAGGTAACCGCCGATGAAAGCAACTTCTTGGATCATTCCTCCATTCAGGTTTTAGTGGGGGAGGATCGAGTACAGTACGAGAGGGAGTGACTGAGTCGAGACTTCCCGCGGTGATAGAGCCTTCAAAATCTTGCGAGTTCTCCTTGTCCTGCAACTCAATCTTTTGCAGTACAAGGAGGAGGTGGAAAATCACTTGTGGAATGGAGGAGCTGGGACCACAGACTATCGATGGAGATTCTTCTAAGTAGGTGGGTACATACCACCGGACCAACTGGTTGTCAAAAGATTACCATTACCATGAAGTCGACATTCACGGCGCGCGACTGAGGTCCAAAATGGACTCTTTATGGCTTCCGAAGGTTTTGCGGCTCTGACCCTGGTTCATGGCACAGCGCCGACAGCGGTGCCGCAGAGCCACATGGAAGGAGTTGCCATAGCGCGAAGCGGCGGTTTGGCAAGTTCTTGTAAGCATCAGCAACCCTCAGTGCATCCAAACGTCGGAAATTTCGACCCATCGAATTGTCGAAGCGGGGAGTCGGGTAGAGCCTTGTCTGTAATTAAACCACAGCGTTTGAAAACGAAGGAATGCTGGGGTCGCGTTGGCCGTTTCCAGGTCGTAAACAGTACTAGATTCAGCGACGAGTATCAGGTTTTAGGGTCATTTTCTGCCTCTGTGGTATAAGCTGTGAGTTCCTCAGACAGTCGTCCAGACCACAGATAGTGCTATAGATCTGGGGAGTCGAGCCTACTTAGTACTAGCGTTGATTTGCGGCTGACCAGTGACGTGTCACGAGCAGCGAGCCGCCGACAGCCGCCGCGCTCGCAGACAGTCCAAATGGGGAGGGCATATGGCATCCAGCGGGGAGGGTATAGACGGCAAACGAGACACGGAGGAAGAAACCAACCAAAGTCGGGAAGGTGACGACAATCACCAGCAAACACGGTCACCACTACGCTTGCGCCCAAATTAGGAAGGGATCGATCCATTGGCGTAGGATACCTCTTCTTGCCTCTTAATTTTCCCCTGGCGTTTGAGTTTCGAGGAATTCTCACCCCCGACTATATTCGAAGCGAAGGTTAGCAAGGAAGACTCACCAACCAAACCGCGGAAGCCAAACAGAAATAATCGAATACAGAGGTGAGCTGATCCTGCGCTGCTACAACTTTTATCATTTCTTTCTCCGCTGTTTAAATGTTCAAACAGACTCCCCTTCCCGATTGACCGATGGCTAAGAGCGATGAACTTGAGGCTCAAATTTGACTGCGCGATGACGAACACCGAGAAATACGGCAAACGCGCATTAAAGAAAGACCTAGTCCAAAAGGCCTGGGTCCGAGTTCTGAAGAACGAGGCAACGCTCTCTAGAGACTGGATGCGGGAGACCGAGGTTTTGGTGGGTATCGGTTGATGATTTGACAATGATAGGGCTACGAAAGTAACCCCTTGAGTCAAGGAGATCGCAGCCCCACACGACGACGTGTCGCGAATAAAGTCGGGCATAAGTGTGTTTGTGCATTTCCTCGGGTGTACTATGGTTCCTCAGTTGGCCGGGTTCAAAGTCCAAGGCCTCACAAGTCGGCGGGTTATAGGAATGGACGACTATGTTCGGCCCAGAAGTGCTCTCGTAGTCAGAAATGACTCGAGCATGGAAGGGAAGCTCTGCAAAGCAGGTACATACTATCATTCCCAAACTATCTAAACGTCCCACACACAAAAAAAAAAAAAAAAAAGAAATCGACTTGCAATTGAGCATTTTCGGATGGCGGGCAATTGTTTTAGAGTCTTGACATTCTGGATGAAGCTCACAAACAAGGACCTCTTGGCTCAGTGGTAGAGCATCTGATTCCAGTTTCAACGGAACATCCAGAAGGTCGTCCGTTCGATCCGGGCAGAGGTCAATTTTTTGCTCTCAAAGCGAATTTTCTTTTGCTGCGGTCAGGAATTTCCTTTTTGGGACGCGAAGCCGAATTGTCCCAATTCGGCAACCACGATCGAGCCACAGAAGGCTTCGCAACCTTCGCTGTCCTACGGACAGCTCCGGCCCGCTGAACTAAACTGCCAACCCCGCCAAAGCATTTTTCCTTGGCTCGTTTGGGCCACTGGACGGGTCGCGACCGTCGCTAACCGAGGTACGAGCGACATCGGTTGAAGTGTATCTTCGAGAGACTACCTCGCTCCGCAGACTCAAACAACCGGAAATTTTCTCTTCAGATCTCCTTGAGGAAAAAGCTTTCTAACTTGCAAGTCAGTGCCAGCTGGTAATTATTTTATTGAAGGCGTACAGACTTAGGATGAGATATGAGCTCGTTCTCCAGACCCAGCTGGTCCCACGCAACGAGACATTTCTTCTTTAGGCACTCCTTGAGCGACCTTCTCCTCACCTGTAAACCACTGCCAGCTCAGCCTTATTACTCGCAACACAAGGCTCATAGACGTGGAGTGAAACGCTCGCTCGCTTCTTGACCTCAGTGACAAGCACTAGCAAATTTTAACACGCAACAACTATTTATTGGATCAGATTAGTGAGTGACGTTCTGATTGGCTTGGCTGTGAACCCAGGCGTTGGTTTCACATTCCTCAAGCCAAACGAAAAGCCCTGGAGGAAGGAAGGAAGGAAGTAAAGCTGGCTTAGCTTGGCCTGGCTTTGGCTTGAATCTTGACTTGCGGCTAGAATCTTTCCCACGGTTCAATTTGTGCGCAACGGTAAGGTTGAACTTACTCGTAACATATCGTCTTACAGCTAGGAAATCACCAAGGGCGGGGGAATTGAACTGTTCGGATTTTGAGCTGAAACTTTAAAAACCCACTGCCTTCCTCAAGACCTCATTTGCGTTCTGCAGTCACATTGGAGGCCGGCTCCAGCACAGAGTCGCTTTCTCAGAGGTCACCCCCCCTGTAAGTATCGCTACTTTACTGTCGCTCAGTTCCGCTTGAAAGACTCCGCAGGCGACGCAAGTCCAGAACGGCTGATTGTGCTCGTGAGTTCGCCGTCAATGACTATTCAAGCTGGATAGGGAAGAAACTGAAGAAAGACCTTATGATATGAACGGCCGTTGAGTTCATCTGTGTGCCCCTTTGAGGTTGGAACCAATTGGATTGAGTATTTTCCGCGCCGAGAAAAGGCGCTATGCACGGGCAATCGGTTGAAACTGGCAATATAGACGTGTCATTTCGCTGGATTTGAAATGGACACATGCAAACAGTTGCAGTGCCAAGGGTCCCAAAGTTAACCATCCTTGTGTTCGGTCAAGTTGGGGACCACAATTTGACTAAGAGCGGCTTAACGTCCTACACTCCCTCAATTTTTTGGCAAGCGAGGAATTCTCGCCACGGGGTGTGTTTTCTTCAGGTAAAGCGGATCTCAAGCTCCATCCCTCTCTATTTCGCGTGTAGGATAAACTAGACGTCCCTGTCCCGTATCTTCTTGTATAGATTAATGATAAGGTCATTAGCTGTGAGCGTTATGATACTGTAAGCTCTGTCAGTATCGAGCCAATGACGGAGGAAAAGGCGAAAACGAACGTGTGTGGTGCAATTCGTAAAAAGTGCGCCGTCGAGCCTGTGTTCAAATCAGAAGTGTTAGGACAACATGTTTGATTGAGATGGCGCAGAACTGACCCTTGTACCACCCGCGAACACCCTCTGCTTTCGCGGTTTTCCAGAGGCAATCTATTGGGTTTTTGTACAAGGTGCCGACCATTTTACCGGTTGGTCCGAGGATGGTGGGTTGGTTGTACATCCGTGTTAATGCCTGAAAAATGGTCAAACAAATACCTAGCGAGCTAGTCAAACCGTACAGTGTCCGCGGGCTGCATTACGAGACACTGGAAAATTGTAAGCCCGGCTCTGTTGGTTTCTCGGAGGAATTTACGCACGACGCACACGCCAGAAACAGCGCTACTCGCGAGGAAGGTCCATGTGCTGTTGGCAGGCAGTATGTCGCGGCTCACGAGGAAATTCTTCGTGAGGTTGTAGCTTGGTAATTGCACCTAGACGCAGTAAGAACAGGCGGGGACCGAGGCCGGGATGACAAAACACGCACCGAAGAGCCCATGGATGTCCGCAGAATTGCAGCATCTATCCCCCGAACGAGACCACGCACACCCTCGGCGCGGAATATAGTAGAGAGCGCGTGGAAAGAGTTTTTATAGTAATGTTGGGCACCGACTGGGAGAGCGGGTGAGTAGGCTTGCATCCGGGCCTTGATTAAAAATAGCGGGTTGCCCAGTGAGGCTATAGATGCACATGTTCAGAGCGCAGATAATTATTCGAGGGTGGCTGACCTCCGACTGCTCCGCTCGTCGCCCCCGCAATAACTGCAGTCGAGGCCAGTTGCTCGTCGGGTCTCCGGCCAATGAGATTGTTAATTTTGCGCCGAAAGGGCTCGTAGAATCCTGCAATACGAGGTGAATTGAATGCGCGGAGATTTTAAGCTGGCGCATACCCAATCGGGAGCCGTTTAACAGTATCTGCGCGAGTTAATTGTCACTGAAACTGAAATTGCGGGAGAGACACGCACTTGGTACGCGTACTGAGGGCCAGGTCAGCGAACGGCGAGGCGGACGGAAACGGTACGACGTGCCGCAGGACCCAACCCTCTCTGCATTCCCCGGATACCCTCGTTCTTGTACGTCTTGCTCAACACATCCAAAGCGTTCTTGTACACCTTTTGAGTTCCCGACTTTGCGAGTTCTCCCTGAAGTTGTAAACGCGTCTTGGCGACTTCCGCAGGGTTCGACACGGTGACCTATGATCCGTCAACCAATTTCTTGCGGCACCGATAATAGTCACCCACGGCAATGCTTGCTGCGACGCCCCCACAAAGAAATCCCTCGGCCGTCGATATAGGGCGACCGGAGGCCATGGTGCGAGAGGCAAGGAAATTGGCAATAAGAGCGGCCGCGCGGCCCGTGCGTTAGCCCCGAATGTCCGAACGGCCGAATTTCCGAATTTCCGTGTCGATTTCGTACCCATGATTCGATGAAGTACGGACTGTACGGCGGCCCATTTAGCGCGCAAACGGTCGTGTTCGTCGCTGTGCTCGCCGTCGTACTCCCTACAATATTCCGCATCGTCTCGAACCCCTTCACCCTCCTTCTCATCTCCCCCTTCGTCATCGGGCTCCTGGGCGTGGCATTCCTGGTCCTCAACGTCCTTATAAGCCATCTCCTCGACGCCAAAGCCCCCGCGGTGCGAAGCAATCTCCAATATGCGGCCAAACCGTTTGTATTCTCGAGCCCCGCGGCCTGGCAGGCGGTCTTGATACGCTCCCAATGGTCCCAAGACAGCCCGCAGTCCTTTCCGCCCCTCGTCCCCGATGCACCCGTTCTTTCAGGCGCAATAAATGATATTCTCATCATGATTGTCCGGGACTTTGTACTCGTATGGTACAAGGACCTGTCTACGTCTCCGTCGTTCCCCGTGGCCGTTTCGTCGGTGCTGCACAAGTCGCTCGAGAATATTCTTGATCGGGCCGTGGCAATTGACCTCTCGGAGCTTGTGGTCAAACGTATCCTCCCAAAGGTCACGGCGCACATCGAGCAGTTCCGTCAGTCCGAGGTCGCCCTCCGCGGTGCCGGCTTGGAGCGGCGGTTGACCCAATCGGAGGAGCTCGACCTTCTCCTGGCGAGTCGGTACACAAGCAAAGGCGGCGGTAAACTGCACCCTTCGGTCGATAACCTGTCCACTACTTTTACCAAGCAGACGGAAGAGACGCACCTCAGACAACTGGTGGAAAAGGCGCTTCCGTTTGTTTTGCCCCGGAAAGAGGGCCAGAGCAGGGTTTTGAAGTTGGTTGTGCGCGAGATTGTCGCGTGTGCAGTATTATATCCCGTCATGGAAATGGTGTCGGATCCCGACTTTTGGAACAAGGCAATCGACCAAGTGGTGCGTCTTTGAACACAGTGTTGAAGGGAACGGTCTAATTATCCGCAGGCTGGTGCAGCAATTCACGAACAGTGCGCCACTCCACATGCGGCGCTTGAAAACTCTAATTCATTCCCAGGAAACTGATCACGAAAGTGCGGAATGTTCTCGAGGCTCAGTCACCAAGACCTCATCACCGCCTGTCAACTGCTCCCCCAGTCTCTGCGCTCCCTACCACCGAGACCATAACAATCCGGACAGATGCTCGCCAGTTCGAGTCTTTCCTGCGCAGTATAAACCGCTGCTCCTCGCTTTTGGACGCTCGACGCCTGAAAAATGACGTCGTGGGCGAGATACGGAGGACACGGCTATCTCTTGGTGAGCAACTCTGGCATTTATACAAGCGTTTTAGCTAACAACAACAGCCAATCACGAGAAGGAGGACTGGATAAACGGGGAGAAAACCGAAGATGTCGTCGCTTTCTTGGATAGGCTTTACACGGCCAAGCGCAAGGTCGAGGAACGGATTGTCGTGCTTGGCGGAGGGGAGAATTCGGTAAGAGGTCATAGCTTTCTCAAAGATCCAAATTTAATCACGCCTAAAGGAACGGCAATCGTCCTATCAAGAACCTGGTCCCAAGTCCGTGACTCTGCGTGATGTTTTACAGAACCCCAGCTCTTTATCGTACTTTATGGAGTTTATGGACCGCCGCCAACGGTCTTTGCTTGTTCAATTCTGGTTAACCGTGGAAAGCTTTAAGAATCCGCTCGAGTCGGTTGATTCGAGTTCCTCTGGCGACGAGGACGAGCACATCCAGGATGCTTCGAGCTCAGTTACAGTGCGGGAAGATATCTCGATGATATACGAGCTTTACTTCTCGACACCCACCCCCCATCCTACCCTCGCCTCGATACCAAAGAAACACGTTCAGCGAATCCGGGACTTTGCAACGAGCGAGCAACCACCATCCCCCGCTACACAACGGACCGTTCGCAGGAGTGTTATGTTGGCGCAGCGGCAGGTGGAGCGGAA